AACATTAATATTAATAATAATATTAATAATACTCATAATAATAATGATAATAATATTAATAATAATAAATAATAAATCTACCTTTCCTCCTAAAACAGTGTTACCAGGTCTTTAACCGACCTCTTGAACCCAAGGATCAGCGTATACTTGACAACACAGAGGTGAAAGGAGGGGGGGAGAGGGAGGGAGGAGGAAGGAGAGGGAGGGAGGAGGAAGGAGAGGGAGGGAGGTGGAAGGAGAGGGAGGGAGGGAGGGAGGGAGGAGGGGAGGGAGGAGGGGAGGGAGGGGAAAGAAGGGAGGGAAGGAGGAAGGAAGGAGGAGGAGAAGAGGGGAGAAGGCAAGGGATAGTAGGACGGACGGAGGGAGAGAGGGAGGGATGTAGGAGGAGGAGGAGGGGAGGGAAGACGGACGCAGAGAGGAAGGGAGGAATAAGTACGTAAAGAGGGAGAAAGGGAAGGAGGGAGGGAGGACGGAGGGAGAGGGAGAGACCGAGGGAGGGAGGACGGAGGGAGAGGGAGAGACCAAGAGGAAGGAGTACGGAGGGAAAGGGAGAGGGAGAGGGGGAAGGGGGGGAAGGGAGGAAGGACTATGGAGGGAGTGGGAGAGGGGGAGGACGGGGGGGGGGAGGTAGGGACTGTTTGTCTGCCCTACTTATCAAAGCTGAATATCAACCTTGCACTGCGTTGTTTTGCTTGCTTGCTCGCTTGCTTGCACGCTCTCGCGCCCACTGCTTGCCTATTCTCTTCACTCCCTTTTTCTTCGCTATTTCCTTTCTTTACTCTTTCCTTTCATTATTCCTTTCCTTTTTGTCTCCTTTGCCTTCTAATCTTCGTGGCTTTCTTGTATATTTTCTCATGTACCTATTTTATTGTTGATCTTTATTCCTATTTATCTTCTTTTCTATCATCTATACTATTTTCTTTTTCGCCTATTTTTCTCCTTATTCATTTTTTTTCTCTTGTATTCTTACCCATTGCCTTCTTATTTCATTTCTCTCTCTTCTTTATCACTTAAAAGATTAATATTCCTAATGTTGTTCCTTTTTATCGTCGGTTACTTTTCCTATTCGTCTTCTTTTGTTTTTGTTTTTATTACCCTTGAGACAGACACACAGACAAATAGACAGACAGACACACAGACAGGAATACAGACAAACAGAGAGAGGCAGAAACAGACAGTTAAAAAGAGAGAGAGAGAGAGAGAGAGAGAGAGAGAAAAAAGAGGGAGAGAGAGAGAAAAAAGAGGGAGAGAGAGAGAAAAAAGAGGGAGAGAGAGAGAAAAAAGAGGGAGAGAGAGAGAAAAAAGAGGGAGAGAGAGAAAAAAAAGAGGGAGAGAGAGAAAAAAAAGAGGGAGAGAGAGAAAAAAAAGAGGGAGAGAGAGAAAAAAAAAAGAGGGAGAGAGAGAGAAAAAAAAAAGAGGGAGAGAGAGAAAAAAAAAAGAGGGAGAGAGAGAGAAAAAAAAAGAGGGAGAGAGAGAGAAAAAAAAGAGGGAGAGAGAGAGAAAAAAAAAAGAGGGAGAGAGAGAGAAAAAAAAAAGAGGGAGAGAGAGAGAAAAAAAAAAGAGGGAGAGAGAGAGAAAAAAAAAGAGGGAGAGAGAGAGAAAAAAAAAAGAGGGAGAGAGAGAGAAAAAAAAAGAGGGAGAGAGAGAGAAAAAAAAAAGAGGGAGAGAGAGAGAGAAAAAAGAGGGAGAGAGAGAGAGAAAAAAGAGGGAGAGAGAGAGAAAAAAAAGAGGGAGAGAGAGAGAGAAAAAAGAGGGAGAGAGAGAGAAAAAAAAGAGGGAGAGAGAGAGAGAAAAAAGAGGGAGAGAGAGAGAGAAAAAAGAGGGAGAGAGAGAGAGAAAAAAGAGGGAGAGAGAGAGAGAAAAAAGAGGGAGAGAGAGAGAGAAAAAAGAGGGAGAGAGAGAGAGAAAAAAGAGGGAGAGAGAGAGAGAAAAAAGAGGGAGAGAGAGAGAAAAAAAAGAGGGAGAGAGAGAGAAAAAAAAGAGGGAGAGAGAGAGAAAAAAAAGAGGGAGAGAGAGAGAAAAAAAGAGGGAGAGAGAGAGAAAAAAAGAGGGAGAGAGAGAGAAAAAAAAGAGGGAGAGAGAGAGAAAAAAGAGGGAGAGAGAGAGAAAAAAGAGGGAGAGAGAGAGAAAAAAGAGGGGGAGAGAGAGAAAAAAAAGAGGGAGAGAGAGAAAAAAAAGAGGGAGAGAGAGAGAAAAAAAAGAGGGAGAGAGAGAGAAAAAAAAGAGGGAGAGAGAGAGAAAAAAGAGGGAGAGAGAGAAAAAAAAAGAGGGAGAGAGAGAAAAAAAAAGAGGGAGAGAGAGAAAAAAAAAAGAGGGAGAGAGAGAGAAAAAAGAGGGAGAGAGAAAAAAGAGGGAGAGAGAGAAAAAAGAGGGAGAGAGAGAGAAAAAAGAGGGAGAGAGAGAGAAAAAAGAGGGAGAGAGAGAGAAAAAAGAGGGAGAGAGAGAGAAAAAAGAGGGAGAGAGAGAGAAAAAAAAGAGGGAGAGAGAGAAAAAAAAAAGAGGGAGAGAGAGAGAAAAAAAAGAGGGAGAGAGAGAGAAAAAAGAGGGAGAGAGAGAGAAAAAAGAGGGAGAGAGAGAGAAAAAAGAGGGAGAGAGAGAGAAAAAAGAGGGAGAGAGAGAGAAAAAAGAGGGAGAAAGAGAGAGAAAAGAGGGAGAGAGAGAGAGAAAAAAGAGGGAGAGAGAGAGAAAAAAGAGGGAGAAAGAGAGAGAAAAGAGGGAGAGAGAGAGAGAAAAAAGAGGGAGAGAGAGAGAAAAAAAAGAGGGAGAGAGAGAGAGAAAAGAGGGAGAGAGAGAGAGAAAAGAGGGAGAGAGAGAGAGAAAAGAGGGAGAGAGAGAGAAAAGAGGGAGAGAGAGAGAAAAGAGGGAGAGAGAGAGAAAAGAGGGAGAGAGAGAGAAAAGAGGGAGAGAGAGAGAGAAAAGAGGGAGAGAGAGAGAGAAAAGAGGGAGAGAGAGAGAGAAAAGAGGGAGAGAGAGAGAGAAAAGAGGGAGAGAGAGAGAGAAAAGAGGGAGAGAGAGAGAGAAAAGAGGGAGAGAGAGAGAGAAAAGAGGGAGAGAGAGAGAGAAAAGAGGGAGAGAGAGAGAAAAAAGAGGGAGAGAGAGAAAAAAGAGGGAGAGAGAGAGAAAAAAGAGGGAGAGAGAGAGAAAAAAGAGGGAGAGAGAGAGAAAAAAGAGGGAGAGAGAGAGAAAAAAGAGGGAGAGAGAGAGAAAAGAGGGAGAGAGAGAGAAAAGAGGGAGAGAGAGAGAAAAGAGGGAGAGAGAGAGAAAAGAGGGAGAGAGAGAGAAAAGAGGGAGAGAGAGAGAAAAGAGGGAGAGAGAGAGAAAAGAGGGAGAGAGAGAGAAAGAGAGGGAGAGAGAGAGAAAGAGAGGGAAAGAGAGAGAAAGAGAGAGAAAGAGAGGGAAAGAGAGAGAGAGAGAGAGAGAGAGAGAGAGAGAGAGAGAGAGAGAGAGAGAGAGAGAGAGAGCGGAGACCTTGGCTGCAACAGCGAGATAACCCCACATTCACCGACGGACCTTCGGAGGCCCGTATCCGTTGCCTCCCCCCCTCGCCCCCCCCCCGCGCCATTCCTCCCCCCTCTTCCATCTCCCCCATTCGTCCCACTCTTCCTCCTATTCACATCCCTCCCTCCGTCGTCTCCCCCTTCCATCTCATCCTATTTTTGCTCCATTTCGTTTCCACTCATTTACTTCCATCTTATTTCCCTCTTCCTTTTCTAACTTTTCCACCTCCTACTCCTCATTTTCCTTGTCTAACTTTCAATCTCCTTGTCCATCTCTTCCTACTCTTCCTCTCCTTTTTCTCCCCCTACCTATGTTTCTTTTGTCTTATCCTCTTTCTCCTCCTCTTCCACTACCACCTCCTCTTTCCTCGTCTAACTTTCCATCTCCTTGTCCGCCTATTTCTCCTCTTCCTCCTCTCATTTTTCTTCCTCTTTCTCTTCCTACCCCTCCCCCCTCCTCCTCCATCTCTCCCACCCCAC